AAGGTAGACATTTAAAAATTATCATTCATAAAATAACTATAGCAATTCCTATGTAATCTGTCCCTCCCTACATGAACTGAGGGAAAAGCATTTGGAGAGAGAAGACCAAARTCACATAGCAGAAATTTGTAATGAGCTCAAATCTACAGCATAAGAACAATTGATAACACAGAACAGAAAATCAAAACTATAAAAATCAGAACTATAAAAAATGACGTGAAATCAGAAAATTACTCATTTTAATTGCATCAACAAAAATGAACATGATTTCAATAACACAGACATTATAGTTAAATACTGATATTTGGGCTTCTGAGCTTTTCAGTGGATTCACAAACATGATCATGCATATGGATATGCAGAGGTCAAAAATCTTAAAAGAAAAAAGGTGAGATGAGAAAGTCAAGATTTTAATTTTAGTTTTTCATATCCATAATTTTAATGTTTGGTTTTATAAACTACTATGGTAAGAAATTTACTTGATATGTTYTATCAGTGATACTACTGCATTGCCAAAGCCTATAGGTTGATATATACAGCAATGCTGTGATGGTCAGCTTTGTTTCTAAAAGTGTCAGGCACTTCAAGAAAGACAGAAACATTCATGATAATAAGTGCCAAGGATAGGAAGACTTTTTTTTTTTAAAGATTCTTTAAAATCACATTCAATTATATATTTATTGTGCGTAAGGAAAACTATACTAATAAAACAYTTAGAACATAAGCTTATTCACTGTCCAGGAAACCTCATATCTATAGTCACAGGAGTTCCCTTATTTGGAAAGATAAGTATATACAGTTGGCGTCAGGACAACTATTTTCCAAATCACAAATAGATAGGACCGGATTCATCATGAGGTCATAAAGAAAGCAGTGCATTAGAAGTGCATCCCTCAATAGAGGTAGGAGAAACACATTCTCAGGATTTCAAGAGTCCAGAGGGAGAAGATGAAGCAACAATGATAAGAAATGAATGATGATATAGATGTTCAGAGAAACCTGAAAAGTAATATGTTCAGGGGAAGCAGTATTAAACAATGAAAAGAAATACATATTATAAGGATAAATCAAATACTCTGAATCTCTTAACTCCTTTTATGGCAGCTTTGGATAATCCTATAAATGGGGATAATCACTAAAATTCTAAATATACTGTTTTATTATAGTAAGTAGTTTTCACTTTTTACATTATAATAAATAGCAACCAGTATAGGAATTCCTTATCCACAGTAAATATCATTCTCCTTCTAAATCCAACTTCAGGAAAAATATATTATGCCTGAGTCATATAAATACGCTGCTATTTTCATGAGAAAAAAAGTCACTTTAAAATAATTATGGCTACTACATAATYATCACCATTACTTGGGATAATTTTCATTGTCTAAAAAAAGCAAGCAATTTGAAATAATATTCAGTTTATAGCAAACATATTCTCTAATAAACATTGAATAAATAATACAAATTTCAGTAAAATCTAATTTGTTTACCATATAATGTTTACATTTTTGTATCTATATTTTATCTACTTTTGCCTCTGTAGTTTCTATTTGGAAGCAACATGGTAGTGAATACCCCAGGGAGGGGCTCTTTTCTGCTTTTAGGTAAACCTGAGTTTAAATTTTGATTTGGTCACATACTACTTTTTAACTTTGGGGGCTTTTCTGAGATTCTTTTTATGTCTGTTTTYGTTTCCACTCATTAATTATATCAAGTTAATTACTTCTACCATGGCTTTGGTTTGAATATTAAAAGGCATTATATAAGCAAAATATATGATACATAAATATTAGTTTCCTTCTCACTTTGTATTCTTTCTCCCTAATTAAATTGAGTCTTACATTTATTATTTTATTTTAATTTTATTAAAAGTCTGAMATATTCTACACAATAAGATTAAAAAAAGATTTTCGATGAAAAAAGTTTTAACTAATTAATCAAGGTTATAGCATCTATATAAAAAATATTTATATGGTGTCTTTTCCTCTTTTAAATACCCTTGTCATTTTATAGGCAGAAAATGATGTGTATAAAATGCCAGGATTTTAAAATGCACGTTTAGACCTATCAAACCTAAGTGTTTCACTTATTTTCTGGTGTCCAGGTGAAGCCTGTGGGCCCATGAACTAATTTAGTTGGAATTTGGTACCAAACAAGTGAAATCAATGAGTCATATGAATTAATACGGAGAAAAAAATCAGGTCTTCCCATGTGAAATATACTATAACCTGGCCCCTTCTTTTTTAAGTTGACCTAAAAAGGATTAGGAAAGAGGATGTGGACAGGTCAGGACAAGTCCATACCCGATGATCTGTCAGAAAATGTGAAGAAATATTTAAGGGTAAATATTGAAATATAAGGGATGCTAAGTTAACACAAATGGCAAAATAGACAGTGATCATAAATTATTTTGGTACACTGGTTTATGACAATCCTCCTATAAATTCCATGGTGGGCAACAGAGTCTAGTAGGAACTTTAGCAGTAATTGACTTTGCTTCATATCTTGAACATCTAAACTCTATTGTTACTTAGGCAAAGAAATATGTTCAGCACTAATTTTTCAGACACAGAGGCTAAATATATTTACTCCTCCACTTATGTGACTATGCAATAAATGAAAGTTCTGGGCCAATATTCTTTGCTCARTCTTTGATTCTGCAATTATTCTTCCAATGATTGGAGGTGAGGTAATAAAAGTGAACAAGTAGAATGACTTATAATCCAGTATGTTTTTATATCATGTTTCATGTGTGTTCTGGACTAATTTTGCRGGGTAATATGCATGTATTTTTATGACTTCATGCTGTGCACTCTCAGGCATGACTCTATATATGACATCATACTTTGAATCTGCAAATTTTCTTCCTTTTTTTTCCTAAAAAAATAATATAATCAATGTTAAAAATGAAGAGATAATGGAAGGCAACCAAAGAGCAGCAAAGCAAGTATAAATTGGTTTGACTTGACTCTTCAGTTGGCAAATAAACCTCTTCCCACGGAGAAGGCAGTGGAATGCACCCCACAGAAAGTCTCTACTAGCCCGTGATAAGGATATGGTTTTAAGAACCAAAACTCCAAGATCATTACTTTGTTAATTATTCCTTCCTGGGGTCTGATACCTGTATTAGTTTAGATGTGTATTTTCAGAGAATGCAAGGTATTTTTACAGAAGTGTTTATAACTGGACAAATACTACACAGCAACCATGTTGCATTTCATAGGATGAGTTAGAATTGAATACAAAAGCACTAATAATATAAAACTAGTTAATTTGAGAATCAAGATTGAGTGAAACTAATGAAAAACAGCCATATAATGTCACATTTTTCTTCATTTATTTATCTATGATCTTGGCACATCTTGTTTTATTCAATATTTGAAAAATATAAACACCCTATCATATGCAAAAAAGCAAATCTGAAATGAAAAAAAAATTTTATATCACTCCCTAAATATGAGCCACATGCTTAAAGAGTGCAAAAAATTTTAAAAATCAAATCTTTAATGTGAACTCTTACAAAAGCATGGTGTCCAGGTACAGTCTCATTAGAAATAAGAATAGCACCTGCCTCTACTGCAATAAAAAAAAAAAAAGAAAGAAAAAGAAAAACAAAGTTTTTTGGACATATGAAGGGTGACATCACTTCCATAATAATATTATAAATGCTTTTTATTAATCAGAATATTAATCTTTAGAYTTGTAGGTGTAAATATTTATCATTTTAGCTATTATATTTTTAGTTCTGAAAGCACAGAACTATCAAATGTGCCTGTATTAAAGAGAAATTTAGACTCTCAGATGTTTTCACACAGGAAAATGACAAACTGCTGAGTTAACCTGGGCTGCAATCTGCCAAGGTTCTTGCCATCATGTTATTAACCATACTCACAATTCCAAGCCACACAGTCTATACTTCTAGGACTTTTTTTTTTTTTTTGAAATTGTTTCCTGCTTATAGTCACAGGCAGCATAGTGTAATAAGTAAGAGGACAAAATTTTCAAGCGCTACCATTCCTATGGCCATTTTCAGTGGCTGAGGAAAAGACCTGTTGGTGCTTTGGTCTTGCTTTTATTTATTTATTTATTTATTTTTGTTTGTTTGTTTTGGAAGAGGGAGGAAATTTAGAAGGGAGTTTAGAAGGCTCAATAAAATGACCTCACAATCTTAGTTAGCTATACTACATGGATCGCACATAACAGGAACCTTAGATCACTGCTAAGGATTGGAAAAAAATAGGATTCGGTGTGTTTATGAACTTATCAGCTAGGATTCAGATTCGTTCTTCTTTGATATTTCAGTATGATGATGAAACTAAATCGAGGCCTAGTTAAAAGAAATCCCAGGTTCTTAATTTGTGGATTAAAAACTAAAATCCTGTTAAGATTAATGGATGTAGCTCATTGCTGGTTGTCATTCAGATCTTTAGTTTGACTTACATATTAAGTAAGAATTCTGAAAATTATTTGAGGGCTCTATTCTCTAGCACCAGGCACTAGTGAAACCCCGTCAAAGAAATCCTGGGTGTGGATTAATCAAGTCTAAGAATGCGMAAAAGTAATGGTATAAAATGGAGTCTTTCTTTTTTTCTCAGACTTATTTTATACACAGAAGTGCTTTTTTAAATAGCAGCCACTTACATTTCTGAATTAAGACCACCCTCCTTTTCATCTATGTGCCTATCTTTAAAATCCACATTGTAAAACAGTATGCAAATATACATTCTTTTTGTTTCCATGGACTTTTTTTTTTACTTTAAAAAATGAACAAGTGACTACGATAATATCCTTTTCAAATTTATTTATTTTCTTTTGTTCTCCATATACTCTGTGTTCATGTGGGTATGTACATGAGTGTATATGTTTATGTACCTGTGTGTATTTGTGTGYGTCTCTCTGTGTGTGAGTATGTATGAGGAGAAAAATATTTTTTCCTCTATTTTAAACTTTAATATCAAATAAAAAATGAAATGTGAAGAGAAGAGGGCTTTTGTATGGGATTCTCTTTTTAAGTAATTATATCAGGGTTTGAGATTTAGATCTCATTCTATAATGGACACTAGAAGTCCCTGCCTGGAAGACTTTAAAATTTGTATTTCAACCACCACATTCTGAGTTGAGCATGGAAATAAACTCGTTGCATGGATTCTTTGTATGCATAACCTCAAAATTTAACTATCCAAACAAATTTTTAGGAACTAGTTTACAATTTGCCATCSAGTAAAATCTCATTTCCATTCTTATCTGTGGCTGCTTGTTTCAACTAAAAACCTTTTCAATATTTTGCAAAACAGAAGCAAACTTCTAAGTAAATTCATGAATACTGAAATCAGAGGTGTGATTCTTGTTAAATATTAGTTTCTCTTTCTGAGGGCGCACTCTCTCCTTTTGGCATTTTGACAGTAACTTCATCCTGTTTAGCATTGCTCAAGGGTTCCGATTCTCTGAACTCCTCTGTGTTCATTTGCTTCTTCATTGCCTCTTCCTTCTTCCTTTCCTTTGCAAGCAATCTATAGTTTATAGCATTACCAATGAGCAGCCATATACTTGAGGCTACCACAATAGCCCCACTGGCTAAGTACATGTATTTATAATCTCCAGTTATATCCACCAATTTACCTAAGAGACAAAGAACATCTTTTAGGATGACATATAAAAACAGTTATTAAATGATAAAAAATTTCAAAGAAACTCTTCTCTAGACAAATTACACACCTCTTATTTAAATTAATGTTAAACAAGACTTTAACAAAGAAAAAACATTCTAGGTTATGATGTCTATATAAGCTTAATAAAAGTATGTACATAAATTTAGAGCATTATAATAGTAGGGCATTAAATTTATTAAAAATTATTCCTTCCAATAAAAATATACAACTAAGACAAATTAGGTATATATGTGTTTGTGTACTGATAACTACCAGAAAAAAATATATATTTTTTAACTCATTCCTGTAAGTAAGGATATATTTATCTATTTACTTATAGCATGCCCATCAAGATTGTGTCATTTTCCCATGCTTCATTTTCTCTTCAATAAAGGGGAAAAAAATGCAGTCTTTAGGACAGACACAAAGATTTTCACGCTATTTTTGACAGGGCTTTAAACTTACTAAATGGCTCCCTATCTCCATCTCTAGGCTAAGAACTTGATCTATCATATCTCATTATGAAGCAATCTGGTTACATGGCTAGTATGTGGCAGAATTTGGACTCTGAGGTCCGTTGAATTTCATATTCATAACAACTCTACAATATGGTTTCACGTAAACTCTTATTCAAGTGTTATATCACTTTTTAGTCTAATTACAGTTTTTTTTTTGCTTGTTTGTTTGTTTTTACTTTATCCAAGTCTGCAGTATCAATGCCAAACTAATCAGGAAGAAACCATTAGTTCAATTTGATTATTGAGATCCTTGAAGAACTAGGCTGGTACCACATAAGCTGAAGCCTTATTGACTTAAAAATCCTTCAGCTTGTAATTAGTTTTCCTCTTGTTCATGAAGGCATTTAATTCTTAATAATTACTAACAGCAAATTCAGTGTGTACAAAGCTATATTACTTAYCACATGCATTCCAAGTGATTCCAATATAGACCCTTGAAGTCAGCCTATTTAGCAAGAGTTTCTAGCATTCTAACTAAAAAAGTAGTCAAAGGTTCAATTTTTAATTTAGGTACTTRTAATATTTACCTATTTGAATAAAATTCTGGTTTAAACAGGTAGATGTTAGAATGAGCTCATTTGAGTAAGCCCAAAATATATGTATATATAACAAAAATGTTATRTATGTATATATAACTTTTGTTTTCCTTTCTAATTTTAGTCAAATATTTCTGTCTGTGTGATAGTCAATATAAATATGAAAAYATAAGATCCATGGCCTCATTAGTTAATAATTGTACTTTCTAAGTGTTTTGGGAAATTTTCAGCATCAGGAAACCAGATATGATTTCCAGAGCTAAAGCTTCAGTTTTTAATGAGTATAAAACTTAAAGATCAGTCTGAAAAAAAATCAATAGAAATAAAACCTACACACTCCCTACCTCTCATTGGTCTACTACCAGGGCTAATAGCAGCAGCAGCAGCAAGTATGTCAGAAAAAAATCACCGAAATATTCAAAAATATTTACTATGTGATTACTATGTGCCAGACATTTTCAGTAGTAATCAAATACTAAAAAGGATACTCCTGCCTGAGGGTCAAGGAGTATTACAAGGCAGAAATAGTATTAAAAAATGGATATCTATGCTACAGTCTGAAAGCTTCAACAATGAGTTCCAGATCTATTACGTCAAATCGGCACCAAATGACATGATGATTTGCCAATATTAATGCAACAGGCACTCAGAGTAACTGAAACTGCCTTAAAATATATTGATGCAGGTTCTCAGTATGTGCAGAAGTGGCAAAATCATATCACTTTTTWAAAAATTCTTAGAGCCAATCTACTATGTCTTTGATTAGACTTAATTTTTTTCATATCACCAYGCATGGTGATGTATAATTTTTTTCTCTTTTGATAGTTAGAATTTGTTGCTAATGCATAAACTTTAAAATTCATTTGGTCAAATCAATTTCATATGAAAAGATAGTCCAATTGTGCTTTGTTTTGTAAGAAAATCAGGTGGCTGATAAATAACAAGACCTAATGGCTTTCACTGTTTTTCAACAATTGTTTGGATATGGTGTTATATCAATACTGAGAAACATATCACCTAAAATCTGCCCTAAATACTAGAGGATAGGAAAAACCAACAATTACACCACCAAGATCTTACAGCCAGCTCTAAGGCCCTCCTAACCAAGTGAAAAAGTGAAAGACAAAAGTCAATGAGGGCATTAAGAGTAACATTTTTGACATGAATGTCTCCATTTTTAAACGGTTCTTTGATGACACACAGAAAACAATTGACTAAATACATGGGGAAATTTGCATTTAACCTGACTGTGCACTAGGGGGCAGGCCAAGAATCTAAGCTTAACAGTGACCAAAATAACATACAGTAGTTGCTGGAAAAGTCTGTCCCACAGAAAATAATTTAATATTAACAACATTTAAAATCTAAGACTAGAGAAGTCTTGATGTCAGAATGTAATTATGCATGTGTCTTTACCATGGGTTCAGAAGCATTATTCAATCTAAATATAATTTCCTTTCAAAAGTACTCTTAACTGTATTTCAAAAGGAAGCCATAAAATACTGACAAGGAAGTCCAACAAAAATCTAACACTTCTGTGATGACTATTTTACCTTTCTTTGTTTCTTTTTTTTTTTTTTTAAATATTAGACCAACTTCTCAATTTTGTTGGTGGTACACTAAACTTGCATTACTTTCTTTATTGAGTTAATTTAGCATAGACACTTTTATAGACATCTTTAAAAATATTTCAAATCTTAAAATATAAAGGTAATCCTTATCAATTGTAAATACACAACATAAACTATCTAGTCRAAAGAACAACTTTCAGTGGATTTTTCTTTATCCCTGTATTATATGTTAGTGATATAAAGGTATGGCTTCCGTGGCAGTTAGTTACAAATAAATATAACTAACAGAATAAAAAACAAATTCTGAAATTTTCAGGACACGATTTTACATTGTGAACCCATTCTTATATAAGCAGAACAGAAATCTGTTCAGTAATGTTAAAGTCACATTTTTTTTTTATATTCCTAAAAGCACAAAATAACAACTAATCGGGATAGAAGTCCTGAAAATCATGCAACTAATTACCAATCTAACTTAAGTTCTCAAATTCATAGGTCCAGGTTCTGAAACAGAGTCAGGTATAAAATCAACTAATTATGAAATTTTAAAATGCGTAATAAAATATGAAAATTAATCCCCCTACAGTCTTTTTTCGGCCATTAGCATTATTTAAAGCACATTATTTACTGTAAAGAACTTCTCAGCTAATGAATACCTGCATAATTCATTTTGCTCTCCTTGATGAGAAATATTCTTACCAGCAATAGGAGGGCCAAGAAGAACGGGACCACACTCTACCACGGTGACGAGTCCCACTGCACTGGAAAACCTTGGAGCTCCAACAAGGTCCATGAGAGTTTCAAAGAGGACGCTGCTAACACTCCCAAATCCATAGCCAAAAAATACAGCATATACCACCAGGCTCGTGTAGCTCTGTGCCAGGGGGCACAAGAGATGACAGATTCCAGTAAACATGACCGCAAAACTGAAGAAGTACTGGATTCGGGGACGGATAAGTTTGGAGTTTGCAATTAATCCTCCACAAGGCCTGGCAAACATATCAACAAAAGCCATAACAGACAACAAGAAAGCTGCGGAATACTCATCTATTCCCCTGTCTTTAGCATACGGAGCCAGGAAGATGATAGGGGCAAAAAACCCCAGAAACATGATGACGTTTCCAGAGAGATAGATCAGAAATCCTCTATGCTTAAAAAGGGAGAAATCTAAATACTTGTTAATTTTGTTCCATGTCGATTTCTTCTGTTGGATTTTCTTCGATTCTGTATCTTCTGCTCTTATGCTAATCTTATTTTTCGACTGAGTAGTTTGTTTGGGGCCAAGGGGTCTCATGAGGGCCCCAGCCACGCAGGCATTCAAAAATATACCTCCTAAAATCAAGAAGCTTCCTTTCCAGCCGTAACTATTAAAAAGGAACTGATTGAAAGGGGCCAATGTACTTAAGAAAACAGGACTCCCTGCCATGGCCAATCCATTCGCTATGGGTCGTTTCTTATAGAAGTACTTGCCAATTATTGTTAAGGCTGGTTGCAGGTTGAAGGCTAAACCTAAACCTAAAAAGAACAAGACAAAAGAGGAAAAAAGAAAACACAAACATATTACACCACTCACATAAGAAATTATTTTCGGAAGGCACATTCAAGTGGGGAAAAGTGAACGAAAAATGCAGCAGCAGGTAGTAATTTTTGAGGATTATAAGCATAAATGTAATTGTACACATCTAAAAATGTTGTCATAACTGGACACTTCATATGATGTTTTAAAGCACAGATATAAAACCAAGAACTTCCACCTATGTATGAAAAATCACAGGCTAGGTGTAAAGGAGGACAGAATTTAGATCTTATTAAAAAATCACTTAATTCCACAGATAATTTAACATTTCCTCTTAATATACATTTATTTGCAAATACATAGATTTCTTCTGTGTGGACAAGAGTGAATTTAAAAATGGAAAGACTTTGTCTTTTCAGAGTTGAAGAAATGTGGACAGACTAAAATGCTCATAATTTGTAAAAATTTTGTATTACCCCAGAGGCATTTCTTTGAATACTATGCAAATAATAAAAAAGAGTAATACATTTAAGTGATTAATCTCATTATTCACATCCCTCACATTCCAAATTTAATGTATGTAGATACGCAAGTGCTAAATAAAAAAGAAGTTTTTGTTTTGTTTTGCTTTACTTGAAATATGTTTTTATTTCAAGGATATAAGCTGATTGTTTCTATGAGCCAATGTTCCCATAGTCTAGGGAACTCCTTGGCAGTGTATTATTGCCTTTGAGAAATGAATTAACTTTTGTGTCCCACTGAAGCAATATTTAGCACTATTGATGAATAAAGTACTTTTGAAAGTGCATAAAATTGATTCATGTGAAGTACCTTTCCCCTGCACCCCCGCACCCTAGGCATTATTCGGTTATTTTAGGGGCTAGAGAGGTGAGCATTTTTCTATGTTTACAGTTTACCTAAATTGAAACAGTATTGTAAAGTGGTTAAGTATGTAAGTTCTGGGACTTACAGGTTTAAGTACAAATACTTACTCCAACTCTTTCAAACAGACATTTTATATGAATAGAAGRATCTCTAAAAGCTCAGGAAAGAACYAAGAACATGCCTTCGGGAATAACAGAACAGCATGATCTCTAACTCTACCTGTGAGATATGCAGAGTACTTGTAATTATATCCCATTCATAAATAATAAAACTGACCTGCCTATGATCAAATAGCTTGTATGTGGAAGAACCTAAGCTAAAATCCAAGTATTGTGTTTCAGAGTTTCTTTATCTTACGTCATTTCCCTCCCATTCTGTCACCTGGAACTTTTGTCTTTTGCTCTTATCCCAGGCTGACAATTTCTGGCATGGTACAGTGAACACAAGACTTTAAATCAATTGATCTGAATCTGGCTCCATAACTGACCTGTTTGCCACTGCTGAAGGAAACAGACTTCCTGAGAGTGCACAYACTCACACACTCAGCAACAACAACAACAAAAAGTCTTTTGCCAAAGTCAAGTTCTAGAACTTTCATGACATTGCACAATGGCAGTGTAATTGGTATTATTTGCTAATATTTATTTATAAATAACAACATGCTGAGTACTCTGCAAAGTACAATGTATTCACTTTGCACATTAATTGTTCAACAAAATCCCTGTTTTATAGACTGAGACATAAGGAGACTAATTTATCTCTGATCCCACATCATGTATGTGCTGAGTCAAATTTAAAAATTAGTACTGTATGCTTTCTGTAAATCAAAGTCAGAAACTAAGCTGGCTGATAATGACAAGGTAAAACCCTCATAGATATATATAGCATCAACTCAGAAGTACTAAGGCCTTCAAGGCCCAAAGGAATGAGATTACACATTAGAATATAATAGTGTAATCAGTATTTCTGATACAGGGTGATGTAATCATCCTATCTTTAAGTATGCCCACTTGAAGGCCCATCCCAACATTTCATGGTCAAATTCAATATAGTGATAGTCTGCACAAAGCAAAGGGCACTCTCTTCATCATGACAATGCTTAGATGTAAGAAAATTGCCATTTAAAATATCAAAATGTGTTTTGCCTTATCACAAAGGCATGGAAAAGTGGACAGGCTGCAAAGAGAAGAGTTGTAACATTAGTATTACTGTAGCCTATARTATACTTGTTTTTTTTTTCATGAAATGATACATGACTGCAGGTTAGACTGATCTCAGATCATTATAAAACAGAGAAATGTTTACTTATTATCTCTAAGCATAAGGGAAGACTCAGCCTCTTGAATATATTGAAGACAATTTTTGTTAAAACTTTGTAGATTTTTAAATATAATTTATTGTTCAGGCATATAAAGTTGGTGCTTTTAAATGTTCAATTTCTAGTTAGAGTCAATAGATATTCTGCATGCAGCACCATGATAATCAAGTGACAGTGTGCCATTCAGCATGTTTGTGTTGTGGCAAACTGCCTTACGGAACTTTTAAACAGGTTCATTTGAGTGAGAAAAAGAAAGGACAGGACTGAAAAGCTCTACCACTAATCAGAAAGCAGACATAGTCATTTTATTGTTGAATTTCAATCAGTGCATACAGAAAATATCTCTTTCACACAAGTTTTAACATATTATCAGTGGTAAGTCAAATACTCCGAGTAATAAAAAAAATTAGTTTTTTAAAAATAAAAAAAACTTATTTATAGCAGAGAGTCTGTTTCTCAATTCCATCTCAGCTGTCTGTAGAGTAAAAAGTCAAGTGAAAATAATTCAAAGCCATTTGTTTTTTAATAGTTAAGTGACTACCTTTAATAGTTAAAAGTTAATGTGTACAATAACTTTTTTCATTTCTTGAAATAAAATGGCCAGTCTAAAGTAGTTAGTAGTTAAATGCAAGATCAGATAAAATACTTTAAAATAACATGGTTTTAAAAAGTAAATTTAAAAAAAATAAGTATTTTTGTTGTTCATGCTTTTTACAGAACTTTGAAACAACAGAAATGTTAAGAATAAAAGCTAAAAACAAAACTTGGCTTACCTCCAATGAAGCCCACAGTGAGGTAAAGCTCTACTACACTGGAACTGAAAGAGGCCAAAACCATTCCCAAACAGCAGAGTAAGCCTCCTACTATCACCACTGGCCGGCTGCCATATTTATTCACCAAAACACTGCTGATGGGACCTAAAGTAGAGAGAAGATAAAGAAATATTCAGTTAGGTGTCATTTATTGATACTTTATAGTTGCTAATTTTGAAAGTTGAAAAAGCATATTTTAATGATTCAAGGAAAAAATTAGTTCATATGGAATATAATGAGGACTTTTCAAAACTTCACAAATAGATGGGTGTTTTGTTTTGTTTGTTTTGCAGTAGAGGTCTCTATGTGGGCTACAGGCATTTGCCACCACTTTCAGCTGATGAGTTATTTATAACTCTCTATAAGAAAGCACATGAAATAATGAATTAGAAGTGTTCATGATTTTTATGACCCTAAYTATTCAACTTTTGTGGAAAAAAATTTTAAATGAAACTTAGCTCAGAAATCCAAATTGTCTTTTAAAATGCAGGTAAGTTTATATAATAAAAATCTAGGGATTATGAAAATGGCTTGTCTGTGTAAGAATCTTATAATAAAAGTTCAGTAGAGTAGAAAAAGGGAAATGAAGGGAAGGCAGGGGGGACAGGAAAAGGAAAGACAGTGGAATGAATCTGACATAACTTTCCTAGGTACATATGTGAATGTGAATCTCACCATCTTGTATATCTACAAGTTATTTTAAAAAAATAACTGGGTAAATGGCATAAGGCTCAATAAAGAGAAGAGCAGGAAATGGGGAGAGGGGAGGGGAAGGAGAGGTACTGGGTACTGAATTAGAACAGATACACTCCATACTTTTATAATTATGTCAAATGGATTTTACTGTCATGCTTAACTGAAAAGAACRCATAAAAATATTGGGGATGTGGCTCAAGCGGTAGTGCGCTCTCCTGGCATGCGTGCGGCCCGGGTTCGATCCTCAGCACCACATACAGACAAAGATGCTGTGTCCGCCAAATACTGAAAAATAAATATTAAAGTTCGCTTTCTCACTCTCTCTCACTCTTTCTTTAAAAAAATATTGAAGAATAAAAGAATGATGTGTGTATACAAACACATACATGCCATTAGKTAGAGCTTAGTTTTTTAATTATATTCAACAATGATTTTTCTTTAATACCATATATCACTGCTTCTTAAAATACCAACTGTTTTCACATCATATTATCTTAGTAACAAGAATGGTTTATACTTCATGGTTTCTTCCAAACTCTGTTCATCAGTTAGCAGTCGTAGGCAGTAATGTAGCTATCATGGCCTATGCATGTTTGCATTTGGTTATTATCTCCTGTGACTTGAGGGAACTATGATTAATCCCTCACACTTCAATGAATCATTTTAAGGAGCATTTGAAAAGGAATATATAAAAATAAACCCTGAAGGCATGAAAGGTATTCTGCTGATCCATTCTGATAAAAAGAAAGTAGCAACATCAAAAAAAAAAAAGTCCAACATCTCTGGCAATTAGAGAAATACAAATCAAAACTACACCAGTCAGAATTGCCACAATCAAGAATCCAAAAAATTAAGGTTGGCAAGGATGTGGGGAAAAAGGTATACTCATATATTGCTGTTGGGGCTGCAAATTGGTCTGAAAAGCAGTATGGAAATTCTTCAGAAAACTTGGAATGGAACCACCATTTGATTCAGTTATCCCACTCCTCCATATATACACATAGGACTTAAAATCAGCATACTACAGTGATASTTCCACATCAATGCTTATAGCAGCTCACTTCACAATAGTAAGTCTATGGAATCTACCTAGATGGCCTTCAACAGATGAATGGAATAAGAAATTGTGATATATATACACAATGGAATATTACTCAGCCATAAAAAAGAAAGAAATTATGGCATTTGCTGGTAAATAGATGGAACTGAACACTATCATGTTAAGTAAAATAAACCAATCCTCCCAAAAACAAAGGCTAAATATTTTCTTGATATTCAGATGCTAACACACAATAAAAAGTGGGGGAGAATAGAAGTTCACTGGATTAGACAAAGGGGAATAAAGGGAAGGGAGAGAGTATGGGAATAGGAAAGATAGTAGAATGAATCAAACTAACCTTTCTATGTTCATATATGAATAGATAACCATATAACTCCATATCATGTTAAACTACAAGAATGGTATCCTAATTAGAATAAGTTATACTCCATGTATGTATAATATRTTGAAATACTCTCTACTGTCATTATATCTAAAAAGAACTAATTTTAAAAAAAGAAAGTAGCAGCATCAAAATTTACAGAATGTKTGTGGCAGTTCAAATGAAATTTCTAAAGAAAATGGTGGATAGTTGCTTCACCAGCAAAGAGAACAATCTTATGCATGAAACATAAACATTGAGAACTGACTCAGATACTAAATGAGAAAAAATTCTAAGAATGGCTTATCCAACTTATTTAACGTATATTTAAAAAGTATATGTCATGGGTGTATGTGTGTGCAGTTATAAAACATTCAGAAACAATTAGTATCATTAAAATAATCTGTTTTAGTTAAGTCTACTTTTTGTGTTATAAAAGTTATAAATATTAAGAAAGTATTGTGATTTACTTTGTGTACAGCATTTTTTTTTTGTCTTGGTGTATCATAAAACACCAGTACAACTTAACTGAGCTCATCTTCAAGTCAGTGAAAATTCATATTATTTTATAGGACCTGTCAATGGGTAAATGATTTGCTTTGACGTTTCCTTTTGAACTTAAACTTATATGTCATCTGAAACTTGGGATACCACTTTAAAGAAAAAAGACTACATTAGATCCAAATACTCAGACTAAATTTGACCTAGAAAGATTAAAAAAAAGGGATTTTTTTTAGTTATACTATAAATTACAAATTTGCTAAGTACTGTTTCTCTGCATTTAAAATTTTCTGCATGGATAGTATTTAAAACACACTGAGATTCACTCATCAATATGTCCATATTCTTTCATGCATATATAAATATTATTTTTATTCTTTAAATATAATTTTGAGATAAAACATCAGTGTCTAATGAGATTTAATATGTCAMAATGACTAAGAATGACACATAATTTTAGACAGAGATAACTCAAAAATAAAGTAAAAAATATTAAAACTTTTATAAAACCATATGATCTGTGATTACAGGTTGGGGGAAAATTGTTTTAAAAAGATGCACAAGTGAAAATAATAGAATTTTGTACCTAATGTCATAAAATTCCCTTGAAGAACTGATAAGAAGAAAAATTATCCACATATATATTATATGTAACATACCACCCCATGATTTAGGAAATGTGCATCTTCATTAAAAAGCATATCAATAATTTAAAATAACTTTCTGTGAGGAAGGAAGAGTCATGATAAATTGATTGGCTGTAATTAATTATTAAACTTATGTGTGGCAGTTTCATGATATTCCACACCAATTCTTTTCTCAAAATTACTTAACTGATTCAATTCAATTCAACTTAACTGAAATCAATTCAATGCAACGTTTCTTGAGCTTCCAGTATAAAACCAGTTGAAGCACATCAAGAAGAAAATAATAAATAAAACACAACTACAGTCTTCAATACATTGTTGTACAGAGGAGGAAATAATCAATGTGATTTTAAGAACTATGATGGATGATACGATAAATACTAGATTCAGAATAGATTTAAAKTTATTTATTAATTATTTGGACTAAAACAATGTATTCTCAATATTATTTATGTTATGTACTTCATTTCCTATGTGGTAGCTGAATAATTAACAAATTGATGAATGGTATAATCAATTACAATATTGTATAAATGTGTTGGTTTAAACTACATAAATTAAAATTTGAATGTAGTTATGAGTCATAAGTTAATTTGCAATGTATGATGAATAATTACATCTTTAGCTTGGGATAACCACACCAAGGCTTCTTCCTCATTACTATGATTAACTAAGGGTAGTCACTAAAGAAAATGTTTAACAGTGTTAATTCTTTTCCTTTCTTTTCTTTTGAGGAGTACGCTTCTATAACTTCTATAGGGGCTTCAGTAAAGTATGACTGCACATGTGTTGCAACTCTACATTGCATATTACCAGAGAAATGAAAAGCTATGTTCCACTTATGTTCCATTGTATGTTCATGTGTACAATGAACCAAAATGCATTCTACTGTTATGTATAACTAATTAGGACAAATTGAAAAAAAGATCCAATGAGAGGTCTAATTTTAACAAATACTTTTATTTTTATTTTTCAATTTTTTTTTTTAAACAGAGAGAGAGAATTTTTTTAATATTTATTTTTCAGTTTTCGGCGGACACAACATCTTTGTTGGTATGTGGTGCTGAGGATCGAACCCGGGCCGCACACACGCTCTACCGCTTGAGCCACATCCCCAGCCCTACTTTTATTTTTAATTATGTACTTTGGTTAAATAATGTCCTGTGAGGATGTATTTATACAAGTCATCTATACTCCTTTTCTAGCAAAATGAGATATGCTTTATAAGTGATCTAGTTAAACATAACCRAAGCTCTTTCCTCCTCAATATTTAATGCTTATAAATTGTCATAAAGTCTTTCTATTTGGTAATAGTTTTGAGTGCAATTTAAATTTATAATATAGAGTAAAAGTGACCTTTTTTAAAAAMATTTCTAAATGTTTATTATTAGRAGTCATCCAACATTAAATGCAAAACATACCACTATCCAGCAGCTCTCTACATTCTAGTAGATGTTTAGKTTGTTATATTAATTAGAAAGACAAAGCTACAAGAAAAGAATGAATTACCCCCAAAGGTGTGCAAGAGTACCAGGATAATAATCTTTTATTTCCAAGAACATTCATAAAAGTGTAGTAAGGCTATGTCTAAGACTGATCCATCTAACCACTTATCCCCCCGATTCCCGATTTTTTTTTTTTTTTTTTTTTTTTAGTACTAGGGATTGGACCCAGGGGTGATTTATCACTGAAATACATGCCCCCATTCTTTTTGCTTTTTAATTTTGAGACAGGGTTGCTGAGCATCTTGCCAAGTGGCTCAGGCTGGACTTGAACTTGAGATCCTTCTGCCTCAGCTTCTTGAGTAACTGGGATTATAGGCCTGTGCCACCAGACCCGG